ATGCATGCTCATCAAAGCCTAACTCTTTGATACCCAGCCCACAATCCCTTCCCCTTTCCGTCAGAAACTGGATCCAAGTGGAAGCTTCAGTGACTCTCACTTCTTCCATCGCTTACATTGAAACCACAGGCATCGAGTAACTGATGCACTATTGACTTTCAAGATTCTCCCTGCTTTGGGGCATCTAGCCTGGAGTTCCAGGGACTTTTGTCCTAGTGGGAACCATACCCTTGATTTAGAGAGAGTACCGGCCTGTGTAGGCTGCAGATTGAGAAACGGGGTCCTTGCTGCCATGAAGTGAAATAGCCAAAGCAAGAAAGTGTGGCTCTGGGCTCCATTCTGTATGCGACAGTGCTTGACTCATATTTTCTGTCCCTTAGCTTCATGCTATATGAGGGTCTCACTTTCACGGTAATGCATTTTATGTGGTGTTTGAAACACTTACTAGGTCTTTCTCAAATGTTGGATATTTCCAATTTCTAATTTCAAACTAAAACATTTCTTTAGTTTTTGGCCTACATGTAAGAAAGACGTAGGGAGGGTGAGCTATAAGAACAAGTAGCAGGACATTCCAGTTTTATAGAGGTTGGTTTTACTTTTTGGATGGGGATTACCACTAGGCTGGTTTTGCGGTGCCAAGGTTTTTCCATGAAAGCCATCAAATAGAACTTCCCACACTAATAGGAATAGAGAAGGGCCCAGGGTAGGGCAGAGGATGCTCTTTGGCAGGGAATGCTCTTGAAGCTGCATAGAAGCCTTAGAGTCTCTTCTCCAGAAGAGTTTGTGTTTTCCCAATAATTTTCTGTTTGGTTGGCTTGACTGTCATCTGTGACCCTGTCAGTATAGCCACCAGCGTCTTGCTTCTTTTTCCAAAGTCCCCTCTCCCACCCTGCTTGTGCATAAGCAATGTCTAGGCAGTGGTATTGTCAGCCCTCTGCATCTTGCAGGTTCCACATCTGTGGATTCAACCAACTGCAAGTTGAAAATATTCGAGAAAAAACAACAAAAAATGATACAACAATAAGAAATAATACAGCACAATAACGATTTACATAGCATTTACATTATATTAGGCATTGTAAGCAACCTAGAGATGCTTTAAAGTATATGGGAGGATATGTGTTGGTTATATGCAAATACTGTACCATTTTATATAAGGAACTGGAGCATCTGAGGATTTTGGTATCCACAAAGGGGTCCTGGAACCAATCTTTTGGGGATACTGAGGGACAACCTTACTGGAAAATGTTTAGCAACAGGCTTTCTGGTGGCGGGGGAGGCGATGGGGAGGCCGAACGCCCTGTCTTGTAGCATTTGCTAATTTCCATAGTTTTAAGTTATCACTGTGATGTTACTAAATGTGGATATGGAAGTTGCATTGTAGCACATCCATATATAATATGCACTATCATACAAATATGATGGATGTAAATAACCTCAGGAACACAGAAAATAAGTAAGGATATTAGAGAAATAATTAGGAAGTAATGAGTTTTGAATATTTATTACCTTTGCTTTAAATATATTTAATTGTAAATTTATACAATTTAATTTTTAATACTGGCTGTACTTAATTAATCATCAGCTTGCTTGCAAAATTCCTAAAACAATTAACAACCAGAATACAAGCCAGCTCTAGGTCTTGGCTGAAAAAAGAGGGAGAAAAAGAATAAATGAATGGCCATATTGTGTATGCAAGTACTAAAAGGCCTCTATATCACTCAGACTTTAAGCCTGGGTCTTTCTGATCCTTGAGTCCATAAGTGATAGAAATGACATGGTGACTGTTGGTCGAAGCCTAGACAGACACTGAGGCCAGACACACTTGGTCCCATGCCCAGCTCGGCCATTTGCTAGATTAGTGACCTTAAGCAGATAATCTAGCCTGTCTTACTTTAAGTTTCTCACCTGTATCATGGGTACAATAAAGAGAACCTGCTTCATAAGGTTGTCATGGACATTACATGAGATAATATATTCATAGTACTTAGCCCACTGGGACATATAGTAAAGCCTCAACAAATCATAGCTATTATCAGTACTATTCTGATGACTACCCTGATCCACTTCTAAAATGTCCACGGTAGTCACAGGTAGTGATGGAGTCCATCCCAGGTACAAATTCATGCAGGTACTGATTGTTAATGACAATCTTCTTTGTATGGTCTGACCTCCATTTCAGCATCAACCATCTATGTGGACTCAGCTTCAGGGGGAGGAAAGTTCCTCTCCCCACACCTCCTGGAAAAATCATTCTGGCAGATGCTTGAGTTCAAATTCTGGTAATTAATTTTTCACTGTTAAGTGCTGCTGTCTCTCTAGGCCTTCTTTTAAAATGTAATTACTCCTTAGAGAATGAGTCATTAAGTCTAGCACCTTGGTGTGGAGCAAGCAGATCCCAGGGCTCTGTGAAGATGACAAGTCTGGGAGTGGGCGAAGGGATACAGGAAAAGGACACCGAAGCCTCCACATGCCCCCCTCCACCTTCCCAAGCCCACCTGCTTCCAGGCTGACTAGTTTTTAAAGCAGAGATGCTTCTAAAAGCAAATCCACTCCAGTCTTCTCTTCCTGCTCCCCCAAGTATCCCAGGACCAAAAAGCATGGATTCTCGGGCCCTCAGTCCACTGATGAAGTGGCAACACTGCTGAACATGGAAGGTCTGTCTTCCTGTTTCAAGAACAACAATTTGCAGTTGGTTGATCCTAGTTCTGGCTGTGGTCCAACGACTTGATGTGTGACCTTGAGAAGACTGCATGTCTTGGAACCTCCATCTTTTCGTATATAAACAGAGACTGAAATGAGAGAGCCCTTTGCCAACTATTAAGCTTAACCACATACTTTGTTGTTACCGTTTTCTATTCCCAATTCTTTGCTGGTTCACAACTTTTTCTTTAATTCTTCACGTGTGGATATGGAGAGAAAGGCCTTCCTGGGAGCACCAAAGATGGAAGAGAATAACACATTTCCTACCCTTCATCCTAAAGTTCTCAAGGAACCGAAACAGATGCTTCTCCCATCTGGAATCACTTATTCATAAGACAGTCTTGTGTGCAGTGGTAGTAATCTGAAGCTATTCCCACTTCGGCTCAGATAACTTGGCACAAGAAGGCAAAGGTGATGCTTGCAGGAGCCCCGAGGCCCTGTGAATGTGAATTCTATTCTTACTGAGGTTTTGTTTGTTTGTTGATCTAGGGCACCTGTGATGCTACACAAATGCTTTTGAATGGTTGAGTATCAGAAACCAGGGGAAGAACTGTGGCTTCTATAGGTATTGGACTTAAGTCCAAAGGGGATAAAGTGAGAAGTCAAGAAAAACGGTCTCTCCCAGCATAGATCGACCTTCCTCAGGTGTTCCTGGGCCATCTGTATGATTTGAGGAAGAGTGAGCAGATGACAACCCTTTCCTTGAGACTGCGAAGCCTGACATTTGCCTCTATCTGTGACACGATGTTCATGCCCCTCTCAGGGCTCTGACAGAATGCAGCCTCAGTCCCAGGGGCCCAGCGATTACTTTGTGACCAGAGAAGGCTGTATTATTAAATCTTCTGTTGACTCCCTTCTGGTGCATGGTAGGATGGTGGCAAAAATGACTGGGGAATGACCCGGTTGTTGGGGGAAGGGTGCTGTGTTTCAGGATCGATTATTTTGCAGATGGCCAGCTAGGGCAATCTGCCTAAAACTAAGCGCTCGCTTGGAAGCCTGCCCAGATCTAACTGAGGGGCTGAGGTGCTCTGGTTGGGGCATCCGGAGCAATGTCTGGCTGGTCAAGGCCCATTCCGCTCTGGTGAACGTTTGCTGGGGGTGTGGGTACCTGGCTTCTGCAGTGTCTGGAGGGTGGCCAGACAAACACAACAAACAGGAGGGAGAAGCGGTCCTGCTGGGAAGGCGTCAAGGTATCCAACTTAACAGAAAAGACAAAGCTGACTAAACACGCTTACTTTCTCCAATACACGAGAGACTTTTACAAGAGATGTTGATGAATTGTTTTGACAACCAAACAAGAGAGAGCAGCCTCTGTAGCGGCAACACAGATTTCCGTGGCTTTTTCATTCACACAGCAACAGTGAATACACACTTGAGCAGTGGTCATGTTTATGTGCTGAGTGGGGCCCTCGGAGCATTTTAGAAAGTAAGGAAAGGAAAGGGAACCTCCTAGAGGTTTGTGAGGGACGGGCCAGCCCTCCAGGTTGGAGGTTCTGGGTACGGCCCTCTGAGTTCATTATGTTTGATGCCGAGTTCTGGTTCTGCTTCAGAAAGCATCAGGAACAAAGTGGGCCCTTTGCACGATACAACATGAGAGGATTGATGACTTTTATGACCTGTTAATAAAACTCTCTGAGGAGGGAACCCCTCCCAGAGGTGGAAGATCAATGTCATGTTCTTTTCATTGTTACTTTTCTTCTCCTGCATCTTGCCGGTCCTTTACTGCTTGCTCAACAGGGGGCGAAGGAATTTTCAGGAAAGCACCAAAAACCTGAGGACTTTGATTCTGGAGCAGGAAAAGATGGCACTGCCTGGGAACTAGGCAACAATAACCTATCAAAAGGGGGTTCAACATCTGACCACTCTCCCGGGCCCCAAGATCAACCCAGAGGACTCATCGCACAATGGCATCTCCAGCGCATTCCCCTGCTCTGTGAGGGAGACACCATCTCCTTATATCCATGCAGCTTAGCTTTGACCCTGAGGTTCCTGGGAAGGTCTCAGAGTGGTGTCTGGATGGTCTGAAACGTGATCCCTTTCTGAGCTGGTCAGGGCCCCCTCCCCAACCTGTTGTCCACACACAGTTCAGATTTAGCCTGCTCTGAAATAGGTTGAAAAGGAAGGGAAGAAATGAAACCTCTCACTGAGGCTCCTTTCAGCCTTATAGTCCACATATCATGGTTGATGACTTTGCTCATTTCAGAAGCAGCGAATAAAGGAATTGGGGTGGGACAGGAATCTAAGAAAAGTTCTACAAAGCGATACTAACAAAACAGGACAAACATCACACCAAGATCTTGAATCACAGGATGTTTACATAATATAATGCCCATGACGACAAATACTAAATACCACAAAGTACCTGAGACCAAAACAAAAAAAAAAGAAAGTAAGGAAGAAAAGGATAAGAAGGAGTCTGGAGTCCTGGCACTGGGCGGTCCAAGGAGCGCAGGCAGAGTCTCTGATGAGGGGTGGCTGCGTGGGAGTGGCCTGTGGCTCCTGGACTCACATCTCGGCTTCTGAGGAGCGGACCTCTGTTGCAGTGATGGCAATCCCGATGGCAAGACTGCCATTGTCGGAGAAGAGCTGGGCCAGCGAGGTGTTGAGGACGAGGCAGTCCCCATCGGTAATCACCGAGTCCACGCACTCAAGGACAGACCGGGGGGTGGCTTCCCATTTGAGACGCCGATGGTTTCTGTTGAGCTCCAGGCGATAGGTGAAGCAGTCGGCCTGGGTGGGTGTCCCAATCAGCATCATGGTGGCAAAGAACTGGGGGTGTCCTTTGTGCCTCTCCTGTTTCCTCAGCACCAACAGGAAGTGGTGGCCGAGGCAGGAGTGCATGATGATCCAATCGGCTGGTGCGGGCAGGTGCATGTCCGTGGCCAGGAAGACGATCTCAGCTCCCTGGAGGATGTCAACCCTGTGGATCTGCCGCAGGTGGGGCACCACCACCTCCAGGTGGCCTTCCCACTGGCAGGAGAACAAGGGGCACGTGCACATGCAGGGTGTCACCTGGGCAGCGTGCAGCCCTGCCTCCTGATGGTGAAGGTGGTGGGGGCAGGCGTGGTGGCGGAGGTGGTGGCGGTGGCAGTGGTGGCAGTGGTGGTGGGTGAGGTGGTGCGGGTGGAAACTGCCTTGCTCTGGAGTGCTCTGGGTGATGGCATGACGACTGGACACATACTGTAAGGAAAGAGAAGAGCGTTAGCTGGGGGGAGGCCTGGCACTCTCCCTGGCCGTGAGCCCCTGGTGTTCAGAGTGTTAAAAGCAGACTCTCCAGTGAGAAAGGTTTGTTTCTTAAAAACAAACAAACAAAAACATGGGACAGGGATGGGGGGGTGTCGAGATTCTGAAAACACCAAGAAAATGCAACATTCATGCCTTTCTGATTCTTTAATAAGGCAAATGAGCAAACAGGCAATTTTCCCCTCAAATAACATGCACTAAGAAAGTCATCAGTTATAAAGAACACAAAACACTTTTTTTCCTTGTTTGATTCTGTGTCAATATTTTTGTGCAGGCAACGAAGGTCAGTGTTTTTTTTTCTATTTTATCATTGCTATTATTTTTATTTCTTTATTCATTTTATTATTATTTTGTAAGTTGTAGTCTCAGTCTGTTGCCCAGGCTGGAGTGCAGTGGCATACTCATGGCCACCCCAGCGTCGACCCGCTGGACTCCAGAGATCCTTCTGCCTCAGCCTTCCAAGTAGCCAGAACTACAGACTCGCACTACCACGCCTGGCTTATTTTTTTGATTTATTGTAGAGACAAGGTCTCACCAAGTTGCCTGGTCTGGTCTCAAACCCATGGGCTCAGGCAATCCACTCTCCTCGGCCTCCCAAAGTGCTGGGATTACAGACTGAGCCACCGAGCCTGGCCTGTTATTATTTTTAGAACAGAATTTTGGTTATGCCTGTTTGTCCTTCCAGTGCTGCCAGGGATTGTGCTATTGTGGGCATCCTTCTTTGGGTTCTAAGGCAACAGGTGGGATGCAGAGCCGATTGCAAGCGGCTGGAGTACAGTCCTTAGAGAGGGTACCCTGCTGGTGACTCCTGAGATCTCCCCTCACAGGCACACATGGATCCTGTTTCTGACTCTCAGTTTCAGAGCAGTTTCCCAGGGGCTCACAGCCGGGTGGCTTTCACCCAGAGAATCTCCCAATCTTTTGTGTGCCCACAGGTGCCATCAAAACCAACACCAGGAGCTGTGATGGTACTTTCTGACCAGGCATTTGTAAGCATCTATTGAGCACTTGTTATGGCCAGGCCCTGCAGACGTTAAGGATACAGCAAAATAGACACCATGCCTCTTGGTGTGGGTGGTACAGACATTAATATACTTATAATTTACCACAGCTTTGACAAAGGTCCTCTTTGTGACATGAGGACTAAGATTCATATTTCTCAGTTGAAGAAACAGGCTTCAGTAATAACGTGCCCGAGGCTGCAACGCTGGGATTCGTTTTCACGCCTCCTGACTCCAAACAGGGGAGCACCTGCCCCTCCTCCCCTCAGCTATGCCCGCCTGCAGCTCCCCCTTCGCACCTCCCCCCCAACTCTTCTTTCCTTTAATTAGCCTGCATGATCTAGGTGGTGCAGAGGCGGTGGGGGGAGGGGGCAGCTCTGCAGTGCGTTCCAGGACCATGCCACACACCTGGCAGTCATTTCAGGTAGAGAACTGTCCCCTCTGCCCTAGCTCTCCAAACACTTTCTGGACTTCAGGTGCCTTTAGGCACTTGCCTCAAGTATAGAGGATGGTGGTGAAGGTCACTTGCCAGCATTGCTTCTATCTCCCTGACTCACTGTGGCTGACATTGAAGGCCCAGCTAGCATCCTTTTCTTTAGGGCATGTGGGACACACACACACACGAATACACACACGTATGAGCACACAGTCATATATGCGATACACATGTATGCACACTCATGCATATATAATACAGACTCATGATACATGCACATACATACTCACACCTCGTATGGTGCGCTGAGATGGTCACCCTAGTGATGAAGGTGACCTGGTGGCAGGTGGGGGCCAGAACAGCTCTACTCCGCTGGTTTCTGCATTCTTCCCCAGCAATGGGAGTGATAAGGGCCCCTCTGGTAGCTCCTGCCCTGCCCCTGGATGGCAACTACTGAGTAGCCTGCTGTCACCCACCCCTCCACCCCACCAGGCTCCTCTTGCCCCAGTGGGGATAGGGTGTCTTCAAGCTATGAAGAAGTAGGCTGTATTCCAAAATCCTGCTAGTGATGAGCCAGACTTAACTTTCAGTATTAAATATGCGAAGGGGAGCTAACTAGTATGTAGCACCCAAGTGCTAGGCACTATGGAAAGTAATTCTGCTTAATTTTTTTACAGAAAAAGATTAATTTCCTTTTTTTTTTTTTAGTCAGAGTCTCACTCTGTCATCCAGGCTGGAGTGCAATGGCATACTCAACGGCCATCCCCGCGTCAATTTGCTGGGCTCAGGTGATCCTTCTGCCTCAGTCTTCCAAGTAGCCGGAACTACAGGCGCGCGCTACCACACCTAGCTAATTTTTTGATGTATTGTAGAGATGAGGTCTCACCAAGTTGCCCAGGCTGGTCTCAAACCCCTGGGCTCAGGTGATCCTCTCGCCTCAGCCTCCCAAAGTGCTGGGATTACAGGTTTGAGCCACCATGCCCAGCCCATTTCTTTATTTTTAAATATTAGAATTAAATCTGTTTCCTCCCCACCTGCCTGCTCGTGGCATGTGCCATGTAGTCACTGGGTAAGGAGAGTTTCTTCCACCTGCTGGGATCATGCAGGAAGCCTGAGGCTCACACCATCCATCAGCCAGGCTCGGGGGCTCCTCCCATGGTCCTTCCAGCTGTCTGCGGGCCCAGAAGGGCATCAGTCTCTTCCTCTCCAGAGGACCTGGTCTTGGGATCTCATGGAAAACCCCAAGTGCTATTCCTTTCCCAGTCTTTAAGAAGTCGCCTCTCTCACAGAATCTTTACAAAAACATATTCTGCTTGTCTTATAGGCGAAGAAACTGAGACACAGAGAGATCGAGTCACTTGTACTAAGTCACATGACTCATAAAGGGTGGGCCTGGGAATGGAGCCCAGATCAAATCTGGGAAGACCACAGGCTGGATGTCAAAAAACTCGGGTCTGTTTCACTGTTTACTTACCCAGTCACCTTGATCAAGTCAGTCTTCTCCCTGGCAGAATGTTTATCTCAAGGGAATGTTAGGGGAGCTAATGAAAGAATGTCTATGAAACAGCATGAAAAACTTTACTGGGCAACCCCTTCGGGTCCCCTTCCACTGTGGGAGCTTTTCTGTCCTCTCAATAAATCCTGCTTTCTCAACAACAACAAAAAAACTTTATCAAGTGTTCCATCAAGATGGCATTTCCATTTAGATTTTGGTGAAGACTTTTTTTTGTTTTAAGTGAGAAAGCAGGATTTATTGAGAGGACAGAGAAGCTCCCACAGTGGGAGGGACCCAAAGGGGTTGCCCCTGGGTGAAGACTTTTGGTGACCTTCTGCCTTGGTCCTTGCCTGCCTGTCTCTCTGTCTGGTCAACTGACTTTCACACATGAGCAGCAATCTGGGCTGAGCACAGGCCACTGCAAAAGCCTGGAGAACCCATCCTCAAACTTGACGTGTGGCCTCCTGTCCCAAATGCTGAACAATGAGGACAGACAGAACATCCTGAAATTCCTTCAGAAATGACCTCTGGGGTAGTTCTCCATATACTTCTTCCCAGATCTGTTTTCCATCTTCTCTGTTCATCTGTGCAGCTAATGTCAGAGATAGGAAGTCAAAATAGGGAGGGAGTGGGGAAGAAATACCTAGACCATCCTCTCTTCCCTCCCTCCAGTCTCAGCCAGTGCCTCCTATTGGCTAATCCCAGCAAAGGAGCCTGAGAGGTGGACTGACAAGGACCAGCTCTGTTTGAAAGTGATACTGGATCAGGTAAACAGGTGAAAAGGGAATGTCCACTTGTATGCAGATGTCTCCATTCTCTCCTGTGTGATGTCACTGATCAGAACAGGCTGGGCCTCCTAGGCTGAGCTTTGATGAGGCTTCTAGCAGGGGGAGAGAGATATATGGCCTCAACTCATTAAGCCATTTGGCATACATGTATACACCACCTATTGTCAGCAAAGGGCTGACGATACTGAACAGAATAAGCTCCTTGTTCCTGCCTCATCAACTCACTATGATTGTGTATATTATAATACACGCAAAAATGCAGTGTGCCGGGCTCGGTGGCTCAGCCTGTAATCCCGCGCCTTTGGGAGGCTGAGGTGAGTGGATTGCCTGAGCCCGCGGGTTCAAGACCCGCCTGGGCGGCGAGACCTCATCTCTACAATAAATAAAAAAAAAAATCAGCCGGGCGTGGGGGCACATGCCTGTAATTCCGGCTACCTGGAAGACTGAGGCGGCAGGATCGCCAGAGCCCAGCAGGTCGAGGCTGCGGTGGCCGGGAGCGGCCACTGCACTCCAGTCTGGGCGACAGAGTGAGACTTCCAACTCAAAAAAACAAAAACAAAACCAAAAACAAAAATGCAGTGTACACCAGAGAATCAGAGAGTGCAGAGTAAGAGAGGTAGCTATTCCAGCCAGAATGAAGTGACATTTACACTGGGTGAAGCGTGAAGGGTGAATCCTCTAACAGAACAGACAAAGGGCTTGCCAACAGGGAGAGCAGCAGGTTGAAAGGAGTTGGGTATAAAAGAACATGGGCCAGGCAAGGTGGCTCACACCTGTAATCTCAGCACTTTGGGGGGCCAATGCAGGAGGATTCTTGAACCCAGGAGTTTCAGGCACAACAAAACTTTGTCTCTAAATTAAAAAAAAAAAAGGTCGGGTGCAGTGGTTCACACCTATAATCCCAGCACTTTGAGAGGCTGAGGTGAGAGGATTGCCTGAGCCCATGGGTTTGAGAACAGCCTGGGCAATTTGGCGAGACTTCATCTCTACAATAAAAATCAAAAAATTAGGGGAGAGGGGATGGGATTGGTAGTTGAGGGAAACTGCCAGGGGAGGAAGGGGCACATCACACCTCATCAACAAGCATACCTGCATCATGAACATTTGTATACCTACCCCTGAGTTGTACCCCACATTTTTAAAATTAAAAAAAAATTAGCTGTGCTTGGTGGCACATGCCTATAGTTCCAGCTACTTGAAAGACTGAGGCAGAAAGA